TAAAGACCAAGATAACGCTTGACAAACGATATTGTGAGGATGCATAATAATAGTGATGAAGAACTATGGTCACACACATTTGACAAATTAGTTGAATACATGTAAAAAGGGTTAATCATGTGTATGTTTTCTGATCATGGCGTTATATATGAATTAAATTATTAATTTGATATGGATGTTATTTAAATGTATGTTAGGTATAAACTCTAGACATAGATTTAGGTTTAACATTCACGTGAGTATCAGTTCTTAATGCTATGTGTTAGTTTTATTGCGTGAGACATCATCAATGAGACAATACGGTTGGCCTCTCAACTTTGAGTTAGACATAACCTCTGTTGTGGGTGATATGTGATGGTATTAGACGAACGTTTGTGTTGTGTATAACATGATTAAAAGAATGCATGTGTTATCAATTAATGAGATCCAATCTCAACAAGCCTCCGTTTATATTTTCAATATTTACTTTATATTTTCCGTCTTTATAAGTCCTACCTTTATTTTTGGTACCTTTGATCTTTCAACCAATTTTAATCAAAACAAGATTAAAAATGTAGAGACCATTGAACGACATTCTTTTCCTCGCACTGATCTCTATGGAGACGATATAAATCCCAGAGCGAATTCTTCCAAAATCTAATTTTTTGCTTCTTGCCGCTTTACTGCAGTTCGAACAATAATGCATCAAAATCTTTCAAAACATACTCTCCACCATCATTAGTCCTCAGAATCTTTATCTTTCAACCACTTTGTCTTTCAACTATAGATTTAAATTTGACAAATACCTGGATCACTTCACTTTTCTTCTTGATCAGGTAAGTCCATAGTTTTCGAATGAAATCATCTATGAAAGTGACAAAGTATATGTTTCCTCCAATCGAATCCACCTGGATAGGACCATATACATCAGACTTTACGACTTCAAGAATTGCCTTCGACTTGTTTCCTGCATCCTTGCTGAAGCTATTCTTGTGTTGTTTCGCCTGAACATATTCTTCACACACTTCGCTTGGAATGTTAATTTCTGGTAATCCTGAAACCATATTTCTTCTCTTCAAATCTCTGATGTCTTTGAAGTTGAGATGGACAAGTCGATAATGTCATATCCATTCATCTTTGTTGGCTGCAGTTGCAAGGCACTTATGCTCCATCACATTAAGCTCAATCTTAAAGATTCTATTCTGAGACATAGAAGCCTTCAAGATTAACCTTCCTCCTGAGTCGAGAACTCTCATAATATTGTCTTTGACCGACACCTTGTAGCTCTTTTCGACCAATTTCCCTATGCTGAGAAAATTACTCTTCATGCTTGGTATGTACAACACATTAGAAATTATTGACCCCTTGCCATCTTTCCTCATAATCAGAACATCACTAATACCTTCAGCTGCTAGAGTATTGTCATTTGCAAATTTCACCATGTTCTTCATTGAGGGCTTTATGTTGACAAACCAATCTTTCCTTCCAAACATGTGTGATGAGTATCCTGAGTCCAAGTACTATTGGTCCTGGAATCTTTCTTCACCTCTTGTTGTGACCATTAGCAACATCTCTTCTTCTTCATGTTTCGCCAGCTTTGCATCAGTTTCTTGATTCTTCTTCTTTTCTGGAAAATTACTAAAATAGTGACCGTACTTCTGACAATTGTAACATTGAATGTGACTTTTGTCAGGTTTTTGACCACTATCTTTTTCTCTACCTACAACACCACTTCTTTGGTTGCCTTGGTTCCAAGGTTTTTTCTGATTCGAATAATTTCCTTCTTGCTGATTTCGATAAGCCAAATTGTTGTAGCCTCCTCTGCCTGTGTTTCTATTCCAACTTCTTTTTCCTTTCTTTTCTTTTTCTGATTGTACTACAAATCCATGTCACTCTTCAACTTTCCTGCAGCTCTTCTAGTCATCTTTTGTTCATGAGACTCAAACGTGTCCCTTGAAGCTCTTCCTTCGTCATTGCTGACAAGTGTTTCAACTCTTCTATGACTACTACCACATGGTTGAGCTTTGGAGCCAATGACCTCAAGATCTTTCCAAAAAATGATCTTGATGTCAACACTTATCCACATACCTTGATTTGATTCACCAGTTTAGCAACCCTATTGAAGAAATCAGTTATGCTTTCACTTTCTTCCATCTGAAGCAATTCATATGTCCTTTTATGAGTTTGTAATCTCACATCTTTCACCTTCTCTGCGCCTCCAAATAATTTCTCCAAGATTTCTCATGCTTCTTTCGATGATTCTACATCACTAATATTTTCAAGTTATCTGGATCAACACATTGATGGATTATAAAGAGAGATTTATAATCTTTCTTCTTCAACTCTTTATATGCATCATTTTCTTGATCTGTCATGTTTTCTGCAAGCGGTGCTACTCCTTCCTTCACAAGATCCCAAAGATCTTAATAACAGAAAACCACTTGTATCTGCTTGCACCAATTCTCATAATTATTGCTCTTGAGAATTGGAAGGTTCTCTGTAAAATGTCCATTTGAATAATTCAGCGCCATCGTGATTTTTTTCCCTTGAATCACAACCGGAGCTCTGATACCAGATGTTGAAATTAACCCAAAACCTTTTGAGAATTCCTAATCAATCTTGATCTCAAGAAAGATTATGCACAACAACTTTAATGAAAAACGAGAAAGAAAGAAAGAGTTTAACAAAATCAAAGAAAGAATAGAATGATTTTCAACTGCAGAATCTCCGTCCACAAACTATGAAAAACTTATTTATTCACTTTGCAACTGCAAAAATCTGTGAATACAAGATATTACAAAATAGGGGTTACTCCCTTTATTTATAATAGAGAAAGCACAAAATTACAAAGATCCAAAATTACTATTTTGGTTTAAGTCGAAATTCTGTGTCAAACAACTTGCTTTGACACTTCGACATCTAAACAACTCGACATACACACACATTAGCCTAATTCGACTAATTCTTATTTCTGTCGAGTTACACTACTTCGACACAAAGAATTACAATCTCAACAGTAAACACTTTCAATCAAAGGATATGAGCATCGATGTTGCTATAAAGCAATTGAAATGACTTATTTCTATTTCCGAAAAATATAGGGAAGATGGTTTGAAAATACCATAATTTCGACTAAAGAAATTGCTATCGAAATGGGTATAGAACCTAAATTTTGTGAAAACGTATTATTTGTAGAAAGAGACAATTTGATGAGATTATTGACAATGAAGGTTTAAAAACTTCTGAAGAATCATGTAAATCTAATTATTTTTGGTACATGTTAGATCATACAATTACATCATTTTCAAGTAGATTTGAAAATTTTAAAATATATCAAGATATTTTTTGTTTTCAATTTAATATAGAAAAATTAAGGTAGTTGGAAATTGAAAATTTAAGAGAATATTGTCTTAACTTTGAATGTTCGTTAAAACATAACGACAACTCTGATATTGATAGATTAGATTTATTTTAAGAAATGAAAATATTAAAAGAAATCATACATATCGCATATCGAAAATGATACACCAATTGATATAATTAACTATATAATAAGACTAAACTTCTTCTCAAATGCATTTGTTGTTTATAGAATAATGTTAATGATTCATGTAATTGTTGTTTCAGCAGAGATAACTATTTCAAAATTAAAAGTAAAATGTTATCTAAGATCAACAATATCCAACAAAGATTAAATTGATTGACTTTATTCTCAATTGAAAAAAAATATTAAATAAAATTGATTATAATAGTTTAATAAATAATTTTATATTAAAAAAAACTTAAAAAATAAATTTTAAATAAATATTATAATAATTTAATTTAATTTTTTTATTAAAATATAAAATTTTTACTTCAATCTTCATAGAGTGTTGGGTCGCCCTTATATTTTCCTTATTAAAAGTAAATATATCAATCCCAATACATAATAAAGATGATATAATATTTTGAATACATGTGAAAGGAAATTATATCCATCCACTTGGCATCTACAACTTATTTTTCCCTCTCATACGAACTCACACGTCACGCAGTTACGACTTGACTCTACCAAAACGTGGAGCACTACTCCTTTCTCTTCAAACCACCAAGCATGACCATAATAACTCCCTAAAGGAAATATTCTTACAACTTCTCTCTCCACTGGGGCTGGCAATGAACCAAACCAACTCGAAGATAGTTCGGAATTCGACTCGACAATTAAATCGTTGAACTAGGTTCATGAACCAAATGAGTTGAGTATGAGCGAAAAATTAAGTTCGTTAACTAAATGAGCTGAACTTGAACTATACATAGTTCGACTCGTTAGGTTCATGAGTCAACTCGATTACATATGAAAAGAATTATACTGTCTTTAAGATTAGGTTTAAATATTTACTTCAAATCTTAGACAAATTTAATCTTCAATTTAGTAGTTTTTGAATTAGACTCTCAAATGTATCTCTTGAAAGTTGTGTAGGTTTTGAATTAGTAGATTTCGAAGATAAAGTTAAATTTCAATATGATAACTTTTATTTTATTTTAATATTTTATTTAAAATATATATATTTATTTAAAATGTCAAGTATACTAAAAAATATATATATTTAAAAAAATAGTTTTTAAGTTCGTGAACCATGTGAGCTGAACCTAATGAGATGAACCTAACGAGTCGAACCGAACTGTTCGTGAACTTATAACGAGTCGAGTTTGAGCTTAAAAAAAAGTTCGTGTCAAACTCGAACTCGAACTCGAATTCGAACAATTTTTAACGAGTCGAGCCGAGCTGAGGTGAGTTCGACTCGACTCGACTCATTTCCAGCCCTACTCTCCACTAACGAAATTATTATTATTAATAAAACATTTATCAACTATTTTTCTAATATTTTCCTCCATTGAAAAACCGTGAGTACTAAGAAAAGTACTAACAAAAAGGCAACGGGGAAGCTTCCTTTTTCTCTCCAATATAACCCCAACACTCCAACGAAAACTCACAACACAAAATCAATTATTTGTTTGAATAATTAATTAAATTGAAGGAAATGTCAATGTTTGGGAATGGGAAGAGAAGAAGTTTGTTGAAGAAACTGAGAAAGGAATCATTAAGGTTGAAGTTTCTATGGCCATCATCCCTATTCAAGTGGAACAGACTTACTTTGCCTCTTTCATTCATGGACGATGTCGTTTTTAAGGTTGTTTCTGCCTTTGAAGCTGTTGTCCTTGTTCTTACGCTCTGTTTTTTTTACCTTTGTTGCGGTTGTAGCTTCTGATCTTGATAAGCTTCTCTTTCATGTAATTAGTAACCATTTACTTATATATCTACCTTTTTTGTAATCAAAGTTTCTTCTTCTAACTTCCTCTTACTCAATGTAATCAAAGATTTTTATATTATAATATTTTGACTATGTATTACAGATAAATACCCCAGTATATCTCAACAGTAATGTCACAAACTATAAAACTTCTCTTATTTCAAATTTTCATTCTAGATAAGCAATAAAAGAATACAAACCCTACAACGATGGAAAAAACAAGTTGCTCATCACAAGCTTTCGCAACAATACATCTATTTTAGGCTGCAAGTACCAGAGAACACTAAGAAATGTAAAACTGCTTATTTCTTGTTTGGCACAAAGACATACTTGATAAGTGATTCTTTGATTGAAAGCAATTATGAGAATTCACTCTTTAATTTGGTGTCATCCATTTCATTGTTGCTACGAGCAGCAACAATCACCTTGGCTTGTTCTTCGAGTGTGAAATTTGCCCACTTGAAACTGGGTAAATGTAATCCATATACATCTCAAGGATCTCATTGTGGCTTATAACACCAGGGTTTGTGAAGTTCCAGATTCCACTCAGGTTTCTCTTTGTGGTCTCAATTGAAATAGGTAGAAGTTCATCCAATATAGTCATGCTGTTTGGAATGTTTGACAACTTTGTTATAACTGACAAATTTTTGTGATGAAGTTGCGCGGGTTGCTCAGATCAGACGAAATCAGCATGTGAATCCTTAGGGTGCATACGTTGTCGTATTCTCTCGAGAGTTCTTCAACTTGATCAAAATTTACTTGATTATTGTTTGACAAAATTCATAATGCGAAGGGAATAATAAATAAAGTTATGTTTTTTATGATACTTGTCATAGCTTTGGTTTTAGGGTTTATAATTCAATTTATTTACACTGAAGTTATTTACAGAAACAAGAAAAAATGAAGTTTAGATCATACGAATTAGTTATAAATTCTGAGTTTATGAATATAAAAAAATAAAATAAAATCGAAGAAATTGTCACGTGGCATCTACGTCAAGTGTTTTGTCACACTAACACTACCACATGTGTAACACCCTTCTAATCCAACATATATTTCTCGTAACATATAAAAATTAAATTAAATTAAATCACCACTCAGTAGTGTCACACTTCATAGAAACATCATAATTATCATCATGCTCCGTAACACGGGTTAATGTAGAAATAATAACTTATTATAGATCAACACATCTTTTAAAAAATAAAAACATCACAGCGGAATAATTGTCATAATAAGCTCCTCGATAAAATAAACTCATAATAATTTTAGTCACATCCAATTTGGAATTACAATAGTTCGACATCTTCAAAATACTCATAAAATATGTTAGTCAAAGAAACACAACATTTGCATAACTAGCTCCCAACCCGATGTTACATATCAGACCAAGACACCTTCTAATTAATGAAAACTAATAAAATACTCCAAAGCTATATTCAACGCTTCTACGAGCTACTCTAGAGCATCTGCGCGTTACTCACGTGGAGACAACATTCAAACAGGAAGGATGAGTAATCACAACTCATTATAAAAGATATAAGAAAAAGATTTAGTAGTTGAAAATATCATTATATCAACACATTATACATCAATACATCTTTCTCACCTACACAACATCACACAAATAACACATCTTTCATCATCAAAGTAATCATATACTCACATAGTTCACAAGGATCATCATGTCACAACTCATCAGCAACAGCTTATGCAATGCCACGTAGGATACAACAACATTTTGACTCAAATGCAGGTGGTACCAATTCTTTATGAACACCTGGTTCATCATCCTCCATAGATCCCCACCATAGGATCGATTCCCTCTTGGAACCGGAGCACAACATAAACACACCCAATCCGCACAATGGGATTGAGGCTCAACATAAGCGGACCACCGTCCAAACAACACGGGCGGACCAACGTCCAAACAACATGGGCGGGCCAACGTCCAAAATGCTATGAATGCATGATGCACAACAACATTGATAATTCGACCACAGCTAGTCAGTTGCATCATCATTCACGTATTCATCATATAATCAACATCACATAGCATGTATATACATTAAACATGCACATCATTAATTTCAATCATCATAACAACATCATTAACATCAAATCATAACAACATCATCAACATCGCATCATATAAACAACATTCATATCATATCATATAAACATCATCAAACTTCATCAACTCAACATCTCAATAATATCATCATAATAGTATCGACATAGTAACATCATTATCGCATAATATTAGCACAACAATACAAGGATTCATTATCTAAATATGTAAACTAACACTTAATCAAAATAGTAGGCATATACATAATACTTAAACATTTCACCTATTACTATTATGTTATATCTTTCAGCGTTAGCTTTCTAACACTTCAAACGGCTCGTCAATTGGATACACGATTAGAAAGATATAACAAAAATCGTCGGAAGATAAACAAGTTTCAAGTTCAACATTTCTTTCAAACATCAAAAGCATCAACTAATTATCATGATAAACCTCTGGAAGTAATTTCATTTGATAGTAATTCGCGTTAGTTTTACAATGCTTTGAACGGCACTTGATTTGGACTTACGGTTACAATGTTATGGCCAAAACGATTTCGTAATACAAAATCCAGGGACCTACTACGGCCGGACTACGACCCGTAGCACGCCTTCGCCAAAAAATCACTTTGGGAACGTTTCCGGTGCCAAAATCCAGGGGGCTGCTACAACCACCTGTAATAGGGGCCATAGCAGGGCCTAGAAAACCCCCATTGTTTCGCGATTTTGTGCGATCTCTCTTATTTTTCAGCCTTGCAACAGACCCCAAACACCATATTTTAACCTCCAACAACCTTAAAACATATCATATCATATAACACATCATTCAAGGAGATTAAACACATATTATTCATCAATTTCTCAAGCATAGATTCATAATTATATAAAATTTTCTACTATCTAATCATTCTAAAATCACTTATTATGGTATAGTATCAAAGATTAACAATAATTCATAACCATTGCACCAATTCATCAAGGATCGACATTGTAACAAATCAACATCAACAATTTTGCCATACTTTTCATCATCCTTTTATCAATTTATCATACAAGACAAAACTTACATTTATCTTAACTGTGAGACATTGGATCGAACTCTAGTGTGGTCGAAGTCTGTTCGCAAGTAATATGTGTTGTAGTCGAAGTTTGTTCTAACATGCATGAGTAAATATTGCTAAGGTTGTTAGCATGATTAAATATTGCTAAGGTTGTTAGCATGAGTAAATATTGCTAAGGTTGTTAGCATGAGTAAATATTGCTAGGGTTGTTAGCATGTGCTATTTTATTATAAATAGGATGCTAGTTTCTCAATCTTGGCATAAGGAAAAATAGGAAGATAAAATCCTAATTTCAAGGGAGAGAGGTTATTTTGTTACTCTTGTATACTTGTAATCTTGTTCTAAGAGAAAGGAAAGAATAACAGTTTAATAACCAATCCTTGTTGTTCCTTGTTGTTTTACCTTATTTTCTTTGTTAACCCTAACCCTTGTGAGTTTCTTGATCATTAAGAAACCGTTTATACTTTGTTTAAAGGTATCCGATTCACAACAAATTAGTGTGGTGAGCGTGGAGAAGATGCCTTCAACAAAGTATGAGATTGAAAAGTTCACCGGAGTGAACGACTTTGGTCTGTGGCGCTTGAAGATGAAAGCCCTATTGGTTCAGCAGGGTTGTTTGGAAGCGTTGAAGGGTGAGGCAGCCATGGACGCTGCGTTAACGGCAAAAGAAAAGACGGGCATGATCGAGAAAGCCCACAATGCAATATTATTGAGCCTTGGTGATAAGGTTCTTCGACAGGTATCAAAGGAGACTACAGCATCGGGATTATGGGTGAAACTTGAAAGTTTGTACATGACCAAATCTCTGGTGAATCGACTATACCTGAAGCAAGCTTTATATTCATTCAAGATGAGTGAAGACAAAGTGTTGGCTGAGCAGTTGGATATGTTCAACAAGCTGATTCTTGATCTTGAAAATATTGATGTGAAGATCGATGATGAAGATCAAGCACTATTGCTGCTGTGTGCTTTGCCCAGAACACATGCTCACTTCAAAGAAACTCTCTTGTATGGAAGGGAGTCCCTGACCTTTGAAGAAGTTCAATCAGCCTTGTATTCTAAGGACTTGAACGAACGAAAGGAGCATAAACCTTCGACGATGGGCGAAGGTTTGGCCGTTAAGGGAAAATTCTTGCGAAAGGATGGTAAGTTCGACAAGAAAAAAGGTAAAATTCAACAGAAGTCTTATAGTGGCGAAACATCTAGTATTCGATGTTACCACTGTAAGAAGGAGGGTCATATAAGAAAGTTGTGCCCTGAACGCCTGAAAGATCATGGAGGTAATGGCAATGCAGCCATTGTTCAAGATGACTTCGACTCATCTGATGTTCTTGTGGTTTCAAGTGGCGACTCGAGGAAAGAGTGGATTATGGATTCAGGTTGCACTTGGCACATGACTCCAAATAGAGAATTGTTCGAGGAGCTATGTGATCAAGATGGTGGATCTGTGCTGTTAGGAAACAACAAATCTTGCAAAATTGCAGGTATTGGATCTGTGAGATTCAAGCTCCATGATGAGTCAATAAGGTTATTGACTGAAGTCAGGTACGTACCTGACTTGAAGAGAAATTTGATTTCTCTTGGTGAATTCGACAGAAAAGGATATGTTTTTCAAGGAGAGAAAAGTATCCTAAGAGTCATTAAGGGGTCGAAGGAAGTCTTGAGAGGCGTGAAGAAACAAGGCTTGTATACCCTTGAGGCTTAGGTTGTAAGTGGTTCGACAAATGTTGCATCCACGAAATCTATGTCAAAGACAGAATTATGGCACATGAGATTGGGCCATGTCAGCGAAAGAGGCCTGGTCGAATTGGGGAAGCAGAACCTGCT